TCGGCCCAGTCGTCGAAATCAGGAGGCTTGTCCAGCGCCCTCCGCTCATGACACGTCCAGACCTCCGTCCACTCCTTCAGCTCCTTGTCAACCATCCGATGTGGGCTCCCCTGCGTCGTTGCACGCCGTACCTCCGCAACAGGTGGTATTCTCGAGAATTGGTGTGCCAGGCTAGCACTACCCTCGATGCTCTTTGTGGCCCAGTTTCGTCACTCGGTCTCACATCCCCTTCACGTACGCGCTGGTCAGCCTGTCCGACTCCTCCGTGATCCTCTGCACCGTGTCCGACCACCCAGGCCTGGCCAATTGCAGCATCCCACCGTCGAACCACGCAACCACCTCCACGGCCAGGTAGCTCCTCACCTTGACCGCCTCACGGATGTGCTCGCAGTTTTTTTGTGGGTCTCGACCAGCAACTCCGCGATCGCGCCCAGTTTGTCCGCCGAGCCCACCACCGCCAAGGCCATCATGAGTCGGCTTCGGCTCATGTCCACGTGATTCGCCCACCTTGCTGCCACCATCCACGCACTCACATTCAGGTCGCGTAGCTTCCCCCTGCGCGGCGGCTTCCATTCGGGCTTGACCATCCTGACCTCGGGCTCCTGACGTCCGCGCCCACAATGCTGTTGGCGTTCCTTCCCAGTAAGGTACCACCTGTCGCTCAACTCCGCCTCCGCTGCCTTGACCACGGCATCCAAAGCGTCCGTCAGGCTTTCAACCTCCCGAGCATTCGCAATTTTCCAGAGCGCCCGCTTCCAGAGCTTCTCCTTGGGATATGGCGCAGCGCCCACAGGTGCCACCGCGGGGAAAACCTCGTGGCTCGATCGCAACCCTCACATAGACCTCGCGGTCCACCTTCAGCAGCGGCACGTGGACAGGGTAGCAGGGGTGGAGAGCCGCATCCGTCGCGACCCAAGCTTCGCCCAGCCTGGAGTCCAAGTTGGGGACCGCGATAACGTAATACAGGCACAAACACTCAGCATTCTGCCAGCAGGTAGGCTCATTCGGCACGATGGATCCCCTGGACGGCCACCAACCACAGGCCCTCCAACTCATCGATCTCCATTTTCCAGTCCGCCAGCGCCACCCAGTCCAGCCCACGCGCGTTGACGACCCTCAGGTAGGCCACCAGCTCGTGAACTGTGTCAGCGTTGTCGCATTCATGCCCACCGTGTGCCTCAAGTACTCGACAACAACGATCAGGACCCCTCTAACGCCCCTGTGGATTTGTCTTGCCGTCACCCTCGCCCTCTCCATCACGTGTCCCGGCTGGAACGGTGGGGCCGCGACCGAGATCATGTTCTTCGTCAGCAGCGTCACGCCCCCAGACGTTTCCAGCGCCTCGGAGCCCGTCGCTTCGGCTGGCGCCCACAAGCGGCGGCAGCCGAGGTCCTTCACCTCGCCCTGCAGCGAACTCGACTTGTCGCCTCTGGCCCGGTGCCCCTCAACTGCGAACAGGTCGCCCCTGGGCTCATCAGCAAGGTACCTGGTCAGTCCCGTCGCACATGACATGCTGACCGTCGTAAGAACACCCTTGGCGGACTCGATGCCGCCCTTCGCTGTTACGCTGTCTGACACCATCGTCATAGCCATCTTGGGTACATGCACAGCACTACCGAGCCCCGCCGACACAATCGGGCCACGCGCGCCAGCGCGTCTTGCATGCCCACTTGCCCGAAGCCGTCGCCAGCCTGTGAGCCGCACTGCGAACCTGGCCCTTGTCTGCAGGCACCTCAGCTCCTCCTTCCTCCAAGCTGGCACGCAGCGCCTCGATCGGAGTACTGTCAGCCGCCTCCTTGAACCCCTTCGCATCGGACAGACCCCCTCTGCTGCCCTACGTACCCTCTTCACCAGGCGCAGCACCAGGCCAAGGGCGGACAGCAGGAGGCCTACGAAGCGCACACATTCCGCCAGCTTCGGGCGGGACACGATCTTCTCAGCGACGTCACCCGTGGCACCCAGCTCCGCCCGCCGCTTGCCCAGGGCCCCGTGGTCGAGGTCGGGCCCGCCCTTGACGTCCTCCTCCGTCGCCTCGGGAGGCTTGGGGACCATGCCATTGATCTCCCGCACCTTCTGCTCCAGCTCCGTAGCTTCAGCTCGCAGCGCCACTCCACTCTTTTACTCCTCCTCCAACTTCTCCTTTGATTTGGCCACCGCCTCGGTCACCTTTGCCACCGCAATCTTGCTTCGCGATGGCCTCCTGCTTGGACTGGAGCTTCTTCTGCATCAGGAAGTTGCGTGACCAGCGGCCTCTTCGAGCTGATCGCATCGATAAGCTGGCGTGTCTGTTCCTCTGTGTGCTCGATACAGCCGAGTATCTAGGCCGTCGGGCTCTTGACGGACTTGAGACCGCGCAGTTGCTCCTCGAGGACCTCGAGTTGCTTCATCTGAACCTCATCGCCATCATCATATCCCTCGGCGGCCGCCGCTGCAGGTTCAATGGGATGGCCTCCTTTCGTAGTAGTCGACGCACGCAGAACCTGGACCTCCTCCCGCAGGCGAGCCAACTCGTTGTGCATGCCCATGTGTTCCGCAGCATTCTCTGGCCAACCATCCGAACCACACCGTCCACCGACAGGCACCATATTGGCTGGCGGACGCCGACGTACTCCCTCTTTACCTCTGACCTGCCCCAGGAAGCAGTCGGACTTGTCGCCGCCACAAAAAGCGCACACCTTCTTGGACCCGAACGTGAGACATCAGGGAAACAAACAATGACACATAGACATAAAAGCTCAGAGGTCCGCGCGGATTTCTTGGATCGGCGCTGGGCCCCCCTCCCTGCCGCGCGGAGCGCGCCAGGAGCGCTGCCGGAGGCGCCGCCAGGGGGGTCCAGCGCCGATCCGAGAAATCCGCGCGGACCTCCGAGCTTTTTATGCTCATGGCATCTTTCGTCCCCCTGGGCATGGCATGCCCAGTCTGGGCTCGCGATCCTACGTGCAGTGCTTGGCATCACCGGTCAGGTGCTGCCCCGTCTCGCGGCCCAGGCGCCGCGGCTCCAGACACGAGGAGGCCAGCAGCCAGGCCTCCAGGACGGCGTGGGCCAAGATAGCACAGAGTCCCCGACAGGGGTGCAAACACGTTGGAACAAGCCGCGGACCAGTGGTATCCACTTTGTTACCAGGGGAGTTCAACATTTTGATCCAAAATGTCTACGGACGGGGGGCGAAAAGAAGAGAAGCGGGAGAGGAGGGGGCGGCGCTCACGAGGGGACGAAAGCAGGGAAGGAAGAGCAGGGGAGGCGCAGGGAGCAGGATAGAATGGCTGAGAGGTGGGGAGAGGAGGAAAGGTGAGCAGACAGGTGGAACTTGGGAGGACAGCGGAAGCCAATGACGTTGCGTTCCCTCTTGCCAGGCCTCGCGGCAAAGCTGGTGGAGTGGCCAGATTTGGCCCTTGGCCCTTTGGCAAGATATGCGCGGGCCTCAATCAGCCTACCCGCACGGCAATCGAGTCAGAAAATGATGTGCCTCAAACGTGTGCGAGTTTGTTTGCGAGCTCTCGCTCACCGGGACAAGCGTGCAGGTGGCCACGGGATGAAGGTGATCCGATGCTCTGCCGAATCATCTAACAGACGTCGGATGCTCAATACTTTCCACCCTGGACTCCGTACATATCTGGTCCTTCCGAGTGCGACGAGCCGTTGTACAGCTTCATCCCACTGGCAGACGACTTCCTTGTCCAGCTGCGTGCGGCACACCGCGCCAGCGCAGCACCCATTGTGGGAGCTTCTCCAGGGCCTCCGGAAGGCTCCTCGGGAGCCTTGCATGTTGGTTTGGGTGTCCTTTGGTGGTCTGCAGCGAGACCCTTGGGAGGCCTCTTGGGGTCTCGTGGGCCTCCCGGGGGCATCTTGGGGCCTCTGAGGGGCCTCTTGTGGGTACATGGGGAGTCTGAGGGGCAGGCCTGTAGCATTAGCAAACGGTTGTCAAGACCAGCTCGATGTCCCCCTCTTGGGGCCTTCTTGAGGGCCGCCTTTGCGGGCATCTTGGGCCATCTTGGGGCCCTCTTGGGCCATCTTGAGGGCCTCATGGACCTTCTTGGATCCCCCCTTGGATCCTCTGGGGATCTTGTTAGGCCGTCTTGAAGGCCTCTTGGGACCCTGTTGAGCTGTCTTTGAACCCTCTTGGGGGGCACTTGGGCTTTCGAAAGCCAGAATGGGCCAGTACGTTAAAAAATCCAAAGCCATGCGGAAAGAATCGCGTTTGTTCTCGAAGGCGTGTTGGAGGCCTTTGGGGCCGTCCTTTGGTCATCTTGTGGCCCTCGTTCGTGGAGCGTCTGGAGCATTTTTTGGGCAGTCTTAGGAAAGCCTTGGAAGCCGCTTCGCCGTCTTGGGGCGAGATCGATTGTCTTGGGGCGTTTGGATGAAGTGTTGGTTGCCTTGGGGGTTGTTGTTGCTATTCTGGAAGGTTGACGATGTTGTTTTGGGATGTGCTGTGTACTGTTGCTGTTTTGGTATGTGTTTGCCCCCTCGGGGAGGGGCTCTCTGGAATCAAGGCTGCTCAAAACAATAACTCGCGATGGACATGATATCGAATCGGCTCCGGGGAGGGTGGGCGATGTTCTAACCCTGGTCGCGGCGGGGGGGGTGGGGTCGGCCCCAGGAAAGCATTGAAGAAATGTTAGCAGGCAGCAGAGGCTTGGCATCGCTCGGACGTGCGCATTTTTCCTCGGCGAGAACCATCGAGGACCATCCTGGACCATCAAGCAAAAAAAGAAAACACGCACGAAACCGAAAAATGCACGGAAATGGACGTCCGAGCGACGGCAAGGAGGAGCATTCTCACGCGCCCCCACGTGCACAAGGCACGGTAGCGGATCTTCAAGATCCGGCTTTTGCCGATTTCTGCCGATTCGATGCTCCGGTCGACCCGATCCGGCTTATCGATTCGATACTGGGGCCGCCTGGATCTTGGGTGGCGTAGAATGCATCGACCTATGAATTCGTTCACGCAGTGGTACGGTGCCAGAAAAATTGTGTTTTCTCTGATCGATCTGTTTTGGATCTTGAGCTTCCAGAGCGTGCGCACGCGTTCTAGATTTGCAAGCACCTGATCGTGATCCTCCGCAGCCATTCGCTCAAACCATCGACGGCTCAAGCCAAGTCTCAAGGATGGTTGCGATCATCGGGCCCCTGCTCGTTGCGGCATGCGTGGCTCTCTGTTGGTGGAATGCAGCGTTGCTGATGGGATGGGCACGCGGCAGCCATACCTTGAACTCGTTGCCGTCTGCCAGGATTGAGCCGGGAGCGCCTGCGAAAACGAGGGCCTTCGATGTGGTCGTGTATGCTGCCACACCTGCGGGCGTCAGCGCAGCCCTTGCTGCAAAGGCCGTCCTGGGGCATCAGGGTTCTGTTATTGTGCTGGAGCCCTCTGGGCATGTTGGAGGCATGGCCTCTGCAGGAGGGATCGGTCTCAGAGATTGCGAGGAGAATGCCGTGCGTGATAACAATAGCACGCAGATGCAGTGGGCTCGTAGAAATGCACAGTACTACGGAGTTGAAGCCCCAGTCTGGCAGCCTGATAACTGGCTGGGGGAGCAAACGTTTTTGACGATGCTTGAAGAGGCTGGAGTGGAGTTGTGGATGAATTCACCGATAGCTGAAGGCGCAGCTAGCGTTCGAGTAAACCAGTCGCGCATTACCAGTTTAAAGATCAGTCGCAATGCCAGCAACCCGCAAGCGGCTGCAGCGACTGTGTGGGTAGAGGCTAGTTACGTCATCGATGCGAGCTACGAAGGCGACGTGCTGATTTCCGCTGGGGTCACCCATACTCTTGGCAGAGAAGCTGCCAGCGCGTACAACGAGTCCCTGGGAGGGGTCTCACGGGGTAGCGTCGGCCAGTTCGAAGAGCCCGTCAGCCCATACGTCAAAGGAACCACGAAGTTGCTTCCTTACATTCAAGATGGCCCTGACCCTCGCGACCGAGTAGGAGAGGCTGACTCAAACGTGCAGGCATATAGCTACCGGGTGTGCCTCACGATGAACCGCAGTAACTCGGTGCCTGTCGAGGCACCACCAGGCTACGACCCGCAGGATTTCGAGATCGCCCGCCGCTACTTGTTGGCGGAGCTTGGTGCCAATCGTACCCCCCGACCACCTTGGGGATACTTGACCTACCATGGCTACCCCCCGAGCAAGTCCATGAAATACGACGCTTGTTGTGGACCGAGCGCGTTCGGAATTGATGCTGTCGGGCTGGGAAGGGGCTACCCCAATGCAAGCAGGTCTCAGAGGCTTCAGATCGCCAGTCAACACCGGTATTACGTGCAGGGCCTCATGTGGTTCTGGCTCACAGACACGTCCGTTCCAGAGCCCCTCCGGAGGAAACATGCAATGTACGGCTTGTGCAAAGACGAGTGGCCAGACAACGATCATTTTCCACCGCAGTTGTACGTTCGCGAGGCGGTGCGAATGGTCGGAGATCACGTCTTCACACAGAAGGACCGGATAAATGCACTAGAGCCAGGTGGGTGTCGCAACGATTCCGTTGCTGTTGCGAGCTGGGCCATTGACATACATGAGATGCAGAGGGTTGCCGTGAGGGGCCCGCAGGGACGCGACATTGCCTACAACGAAGGCCTCACGACGCCCGCGCAGGGCGGCAGGTACTTCTTTGAGCTCCCCTACTCCCTGGTGCTGCCCAAGCGAGGGGATCTTGTCAATCTTGCGGCTCCCAACTGCCCCAGCGTCACGCACGTGGCGTTCGCCTCCGTCCGCGAGGAACCCACCCTCTGGCAGCTGGGCCAGGCCTCCGGCACCGCGGCGGGCCTGGCCGTCGTCGGCGGGGGGGGCCCGCTGCAGGACGTAGCGGTGCGAGACATCCAGCGCTCGCTAGCGCTCGGACAGCAGGCGTTCGTGCACTGGCCCCCCCGCCTGAGCTGCTCCTCTGCGGACGTGGCGTCGGCCTGCCCGTCCTCGACTGCGGCGTCGATCACCCTTGCCGGGGCAGGGGCGGTCGAGGTGGACGGGACGTACAGCAGGTCGGAGGAGCTGTCAGATGGCCTGCCAGTGTTCTATAAGGCCTCTGGACACGCCCTCTCCCACAGGCAAGGCGTTTGGCAGGTGACCAACGAGAGGGGCGGTGTGTTCTACATTGCGGTTGCTGGGGATCTGGACGGGCCGCCCGAGGGCGTTCAATCTTGGGTCTGCGGATCGCTTGGGGTCACCCCTGGGCCGTTGAGAGTTCAGTGCCAGATCGGTGCCGTAGCCTGACAGGACGGGACGATCACCGTAGGCAATCACATTGCTCCCTCCCTCATCTTCTGATCATCCGCATTTCCAGGTCTCCCTGACCTGTCGTCGCTCCCCCATGTTTTGCTCCCTCACGCTGATTTCCTGTCACCCTTCGCAGAGTCGTGGGCCCAAGCCGCCCGTCCTGGCAATTATCTAAGACACATGCAGCCTAGACCTGCATGCGCCCTCGACCTGGACCTGTGCGCAAAGGGGTCCACATCCCACACCGTGGCCTGCCCTGTCGATTGAGGCGGCCATGCCTGCTGGCTCCGTGTTGTCCGCCCTGGCCGCAGCCGCAGATGTGGGATCGCCCTATCGTCGAGCAGTTACCCTGGGCTTCTTGTGGTGAACGACGGCTCGACGATGCAGCCCAGGCCCCCCGACCCTATGAAAAAAACGTGGTCCTGACCTTCAGTGTCAACGCTTTTTCCCATGTCCTCAGATGGGTTTCTTGTTATTGTTAAGACGCCTCGGAACATCCTTCCTCCTTCTCCTCCTTATCCTCCTCTTCTTCATTCTCAGCCACATCACTTCTTGATCCAGACTCACTCAGACTCAGACCCACTCAGACGCACTGAGGGAATTAGCCTCAGACGCAGACTCACTCATACACATCCAGGCTCTCTCACTCCGACGCACTCTTCTTTATTCAGACTCACTCAGGCAGTGTAGTGGTCCACTGCTCGCCGCAATATAGCAGGCGTGGCAGTTGGGCACCCCAAGGGGGAGCCGCCAGGGGGTATTGCACTTGCCCGTTCGCGCCCAGACCGTCACTTTACTTATCAGGTGGTTTGCTTATTTCTGCCCCCAGATCTTTGCTGGTGGTTCATTGGTAACCGCGATAAAGCAGGCGTGGCACTTGGGCACGCCAAGGGGGAGCCGCCAGAGGGTATTACATCCGCCCGTTCGCGCCCAGATTGGGGGGATGTCTCGGACCGTTTGCGTGTTTCTGCCTTCCAGGGTTTTCTCGTTTGGTGGTCCACTGCTCACCGCGATGTAGCAGGCGCGGCACTTGGGCACCCCGCCAGGGGGTTTTACAATCGCCCTTTCGCGCCCAGGTTGGGGGGATGTCTCAAGCAGTTTGCCTGTTCGTGCCCCCCTGACTTTTCTCTTTTAGTGGTCCACTGCCCACCGCGGGAAAGCAGGCGTGGCATTTGCACACCCCTAAAGACAGCCGTCAGGGGGGTATTTTGCAGGCCTGTTCGCGCCCAGATTGTTTGGATGCCTGAGGCGATGTGTTTGTTTGTGTTCCCCAGACTTTTACATGTTGGTGGTCGACTGCGCACGGTGACGTAGCAGGCGTTATGTTTGAGCACCCCAAGGGGGAGCCGCCAGGGGTCGGGACACCCCAGGATTCGCGACCAGACGTCTCTTTCGACGTGTTTGCGCCTCACTCACTCACTCGATCTCCTCCGTCTCCTTTTCCTCATTCAGACGCAGTCGTCCACATCCACATTCAGACTTACCCAATCAGCATTTTCCATTCAGACTCATTCATCACATTCAGGACCACCCATGTTCAGACTCACGTTAAGATTCGCTCATACGTAGGCTCACTTAGACTTGTACTCACACAAACTCATATTCACGCCCAGGCTAACTCACACTCAAATTCAGTCAGGTTCAGAATCGCCCACACTCAGACTCGCTCATACTTAGACTATCTCGTATTCAGACTCATCCATATTCAGATGCATACCCACCACACTCATATTCATACTCACGCACACGCAGACCCAGACCCACTCGCACTCGGAGCCACTCGCACTCAGACTCGCTCGCAGGCAGACCCAATCATATTCAGATTCGCTCGCAGTAAGGCTCACACGCAGGCAACTACCGCGATATAGCCAGCCTAGCGTTTTGGGCACCCCAAATGCCAGCAGGCTCCGCGAGTAGCATGCCCGGGAGCGGCCGTAGCAACGCCATGCGCGTTTGCCTGTGTTGCCGCAGTGAAAACGGCAAGAGGAATCCCCTTCGCTCTTTCACTTGCGTTTTCCTCGTCTTGCCTCAAAAATGCCCATAGAAGGAGAACGTCACTGAAGTTGTCGTTGTCGTCGTCGTTATCGCGTATGCCGTTTATGTGGGCTTGCTCTCACACCCAGATGCTCACAAACAGAGGTCCTCAGCGAGGCGCGACAACGTTATGACGTGCTCATATGGGATATCCGCGTCGAGCAATCAGGGATCCCTCCTGACCGCGACCCGACAGAGCCAGCCGACAGAGCCTGACAGAGGAGGTGGTGGTTCGGAAGTGCATTCAGGAACTTCCGCAATGGAAAAGCCCCATAAGAGTGTGACCTTCATTGGACGGAAGCGCGAGTCTCCAGAAGGCCCTTCCTGAAGGCGTAGCCTTGGCGGCGGGCGGCAGCAGCAGCAGGAAGAGCATTGTTTGACCTGGGCTAGAAGTTTACAAGCAAAGCAGGCCACGGTGCAGGCGCAGCGATGCTTGCAAGCACAGCTGTACTCCGTAGCATAAACAACGATGGCCATGTGTTCCACGTCGTCGTTGTGTTTAGCACGTTCTGAAGCCATGCTTCGGCACGCCCCGACATGGGCTGCATGCCGCAGCTCGAGCAGCGATGCCGCCTACCCTTCCCCCTCTCCTCCCTCGCGGCGGCGTTGGCAAGAAAGCTACCCCGCCCCCCTTGCGGTTTCCCCCCCCCCCTTCCTAGCAGCAGCAAGAGCAGAGCAGCAAGGCGCTTGGGACGTTTCGGCAGGGTTTCGTTTGTCTGGGAGGTAATTACCAGAGGAGGAGGAGGAGAAGGAGGAGCCAGGGCGAAGCCATGGCGGCACGCGCGTTGTGAGGGAACGGGGAACGAGAGCAGGACAACCGCTTGCAAGCAAGGCATAGCACCGAGGGCCGTGGTGTAGAAGAGAAGGGAGGGAGGAGAGCCTCTTTTCCTTTGCGGTTCATGCTGAACGAGATGCTGATCGAACGGTTCTTGGTCACAATAGCTGCGAGTGCTGCTCGCACAACGGTGGTTTCTCCCGTCGTGTTGCTTGGGCCTCGAAATCGATAGACGAACACCCCAACCGGTCAGTGTTGCCATCGTGTTCGGTGACAGTATTGAGCGTTCCGAAAAAGGCCTCGCTTTCGAGGATCGAGGGAGTTGTGATCTCTTCCTCGGCGGAAGGCGGCGGAAGTAAAACGAAGCCGCCTCCGCCGGCGGAAGCCAGCGGAAGAGTGGCGGAAGCCAGCGGGAGTAAAAGATGTGAACCCAAGGGATTGAAACGTTTTTGGGGTCCACGGTTTCCGGAATCAGCTACCAGGTATCGTGGTGGTTGTCGCCCCCCTCGTTTCCTTTTTCCTTCGCCTTCCGCTGGTCTGCCCGCTCTTTCCTTTACAGTTTCTGCTACTACTGCTGCTGCTGCTTTTGCTGCTGCTGCTGCTGCTGTTCGTCCCCCTCCTCCCCCTCCTCCCCCTCCTCCTGCCCCTCTCCCTCCTCCTCCTCCTCCTCCTCCTCCTCCTCCTCCTCCTCCTCCTCCTCCTCCTTCTCCTCCTCCTCCTCGTCCTCCTCCTGCTTGTCCTCTCCTCCTCTCCCTCTCCTCCTCCTCCCTTTCCTCCTCCTTCTCCCTCCTCCTCCTCCTCCTCCTCCTCCCCTCCTCTCCTCCCTCCTCCTCCTCCTCCTCCTCCTCCTCCTCCTCCTCCTCCTCCTCCTCCTCTCCTCCTCCCTCCTCCTCCCTCCTCTCCTCCTCCTCCTCCTCCTCCTCCTCCTCCTCCCCTCCTCCTCCTCCTCCGCCTCCTCCTCCTCCTCCTCCGCCTCCTCCTCCTCCTCCTCCTCCTCCACCTCCTCCTCCTCCTCCTCTCCTCCTCCTCCTCCTCCTCCTCCTCCTCCTCCTCCTCCTCCTCCTCCTCCTCCTCCTCCTCCTCCTCCTCCTCTCCTCCTCCTCCTCCCCTCCTCCTCCTCATCCTCCTCCTCCTCCTCCTCCTCCTCTCCTCCTCCTCCTCCTCCTCCTCCTCCTCCTATTCTTCCTCTCCTCCTCCTCCTCCCCTTCCTCCCTTCTCCTCCTCCTCCTCATCCGTAGCCATTTTGGCTCAAGCCAGCCTCAAACCCCTTGGTCGCCATTTCTCCCGCGCATGGCCGGTCCGGAGTGTGGCGCTGCAAGGTTTGAACAGGCTTGAGAATGGCACGGGCAGGGTCGCCGCTGCATGGCGATCTTTCAACTGGAGAGCGGCGTTCGCGCGCGGAGCGTGGAGCCGCGCGGCGTGCGGCGATGGCATCCGCCGACGCCGCCGTCAAGAACTATGCGGGCCAGCTCGCGGCGCTGAAGGAGGTCCAGCGGGAGCTCGCGGAGATCTTCGGCCACCCCGAGCTGGCGGAGCGCGTGCTCGCATTGGCGCCTGCCCTCCGTGCGTGGTTGGAAGGGAGGTCGCCAAGCGGTGAGGAGAAGCTCAGGCGCAACGTCGCGTTGCACGCCGATGCTCCTGGCGCTCGCCTGGCGACGGCTTCGGTCCAGGTGCTGCGCCAGCTGGAACGCGGCCCGAGGATCGAGGCTCGCGTGGCGCGTCGGCAGGCGGCTGAGGCCGATGAGGCAGAGGTGGACGCGCCGACGGAGCTGGCGGCAGCTGGTTGCTCCCGCATGCGCTCGTCAGCCCCCGCCTTCGTGCCCATTCCGAAGGGCCTCGTCTGCACCTGCGGGACCACGGTGTTCTCCTCAGGCGCGGTCGCGGTGGTCGGCGGCCAGGTGCACGGAGCGGCGGCGGAAGGGCTCGCAGCCCAGAGGGCCCCTACGGGGGATGACTGCCCAGCCGAGGGCGCCGCGGGCGCTGCTGCTGCAGAGGCGACGGGCGCCGACGTGAGGGCCCCTACGGGGGATCACTGCCCTGCTGCAGGGGCCGCGGGAGCGTCGCTGGACGCGCAGACTGCTGCAGGCCAGTGCCCACCCCATGGGGCCTCTTACATGGGGGGCTGGGGGGGGACGGGGGCGAATGCCATTCCCCCGTCTCCTGCCCGCGTCGACCCCAGGGGGCGCACTCGCCCTGGGGGCTTGGGAACGTTTCCCAGTCGGCTGGACGCCGAGCTCGAGGAGAACGAGTCCGACGCCAACGTCGTCTCGCCGTCCGCCGCCGTGGCCGACGCTGCTGCCCTGCGACCTGGTGGATCATCGAATTCAGCAGTGTGGTGGGCCGCCCGAGCGTGCATCGCCAAGGCGTGGTTGGAAGCGAAATGGTCGTCGGCCTCCACCCCCAGTCACCATCCTGTTCACAGTGTGTGCGAGAAGTCGGGGGCGAAGTTGCAGCCCGACGTGATCAGCAACAGTGCTGCGACCAGGGCGTTCGACACGGGGGGAGAGAGTTCTGAGCTCAACGATTGGGAGAACAGTGTTACTAGAGCGCGACTTGTACGAGATGCTGAGACTCTACGGGGAGGACAGGCCGCTTCTTTCC